TAAAAAGCAAAAGCAAAAAAAAAAAAACATACTTTTTTTGACGTTATCTGAACTAAACTTGAATTTCAGTCTTCATGAGTTCCCAACTCAGTGATTATTTTTTCTTTCTGAGTATAATGAATACAGACTTGAACTGTAAGTTTGGTACAGCGTCACACTTGGGTTTCTTTGATCTTGTTTATGCGCCTTGTAAACAAAGAACATTGTGGCGTGAACAAAATCACACTTCACATTCAAATCTGGACCAACCTAACTCTTTTTTTTTTTTTTGTCTCTTTTAGAAATTGTAGTTTTGGTTTGTAGCTCCTCTCACCTTTATTAGAACTCCAACACTTGCCTCCAGTGTGTACTTGTACTCATTTTAAAGGATTTGCCTCCACCTAGTGGCTGTATGGATCCACTGCATCCTCTGGGACGTTTTGCTGGACTGATAAAACGCCATGAAAGGCAGGAGCGACGTGAGCTGTGAGGAGGCTGCTGTTACAGAAGCAGTGTGGCATGTTATGAGATATGTGCCCTCACTCCTTCTCTGTCAAATTACAGAGAAACTGGGGAAAAACAAGGAGATTGTGCTCAAACACCCCATACATTCCCCACAAAGCCTATCTGTAATTATTAAAGAACTCGAGAAAAACTTTGATCGTGTTTTAAAAAAAAGAGAGAAAGCAGCAGGAAGGCCACCTTTTAAATTAGAATGCTGTCTAAATGTTTGGTGAAGCAATGTACACTGTTGGGACAACTCATAAAAACTGACACCCAAAACCCACCTCCTGCATTGCACACAATCCAGAGCAGCTGACGTAAATGTTTAGGCCTCCCAAATGGGAGGATATTTCCAGTCCTTGAAGCTTTAAACACAGCCTGTATTTCACTGTCAGGAAAGAAGGCAGCAGGTCAACTGAGAATGTGGTGTCTGTTAACTCGAGTGAACACCTGAGACATCGGGGCCTTCTCTGCCACGCTGCCCAGGGCTGGTGGAAAGTTTCCCTTTCTGAAGGGATCAGTCAAAGCTAGTGGGTTTCTGTGGGGAACTTTTATATCTTACCTGATGTTGACAGCTCTATGGATGAGATCTGTTTGAAGAAATAACGTTTATTTCTGACTGGATCGACGAGCTAAAGCTAGTCAACTGGTGGCCCGAGGGCCAAATCAGACCCACGGATTAATTCAGTTTGGCCCACTAGTGGGCTCATTTTAAATAAAACTACATTTAAACCATAAAACAAACTTAAATAATGGCAGTAACTGCTGGATGTCCGACCTCTGAGCTCTTGGCTTTCAGTAACCGTGTCCCCCTGAACAATTAGTTGAATAGCCCTGAGCTAAAGGCAATGAGAGAAGCCAGTGACAAAGAGGTTTGCAGCTTTCTTAAAACTGCTTTGATATCAAAGACCTCCCTATAGTTTTATCGCTGCAGTCAAAAATCAAACTTTTATTGCCCTTCTGCTTTCAGCAGAGCTGATCTTTATTTCAGCAGAAATATTGACATTTACCGTATTTTTCAGACTTTGAGGTGCAATATCAATGAACGGGTCCGTTTTCATACATAAGGTGCAATGGATTATAAAGGCGCATTAAGCGAAACAAAACAATCCTATAAGTCAAACTATTCAACTCATTCACAATAACCACATAAAAGCAGTTCGAGGTCAGTAAGTACAACCAGAGTTAAAACATAAGGCACATCTGATAATAAGGCTCACTGTGGATTTTTGAGAAAATTAAAGGATTTAAAGAGCGCCTTATAGTCTGAAAAATATGGTATATCAGATGTGCTACAGCTAGCTGCTGCTGCCACTATTTGGGTTTGTATTATAGGTAAACTGTGGTGTAGTGTAAAATTGACAGTGATGTAAATCATAAAGGGGTTCACACGTTTTTCTAGACTGGAGATATTTTCAGAAGTTAGCATTTCACTCTGTTCTTATTCAGACTAGCTGTTAGCTTCTCAATCTGGTCAGAAACAAAAATCCTCCGAGTGCAAGTCTTTCAAAAATATTGTCTAGAACAGTTAATATATTAACTTTTAATATATATTCACAGGACCCTGCTTCAAAACACCTGAACTGTCACTTTATTTGATTTATTTCACAGTTATATAGAATTGTATCTTGAATGTAACTAAATATTTGGACACAAAACACTGTTTTTTAATGTATAGAGTCCAGTAGAATCATATGTTCGATATGTCATACATGTGAGGTACAAAACGAGTCGGTAGTTTTGAGTGAAAACAGAGTTATTGTGCTCCACAGAGTAGAAAAACGACTGAACACTACAGGAACATGATTAGTTTTATTTTCCTCTGAACACATACATAAAGCCACTCAAGCCACTAGATTATTACAAACTAAAAAACAATAAAAACATTGAACCCAATGACAGAGAGCTTAACAGATTGTCACTTTAAACACTTACAGTACATTCTCAATAAGATTAGCTTATGTCTTCTGTTGGGATTTCACAGCAATCCCAACTTCCACAAAAAAAAAAAAAAAAAAGGAAAACAACTTGCTTATAATAGTCCTTAAATATTAGGGAGAAGATAAAATAAAATTAACTTTAAGTGTGTCAGGGAAAAAAAAAAAAAAAGAAAAACTCTGAACTGAGCCACAAAAGGTGAATTATTATTATTGTTTGCTTTTTGCACAGAGCCCTCCTCAGCATGAGGCGTAACAGGCTCGCATGCTGTGCTTCTTCAGCTCAATCATGTGACTGCCCTGAAATGGTCAAGAGAAGAAGAGTAAGAGGAGAAGTGAAAACCGTGTGGCTCTTCCTCTTGCTTTGCCTCCCTGTGTTTGCCTTCTTCCTGGCACCAGCCCAGAGGAATTCTCTGGTGGCCTCAGTAAATGTAACATTTAGAAAAAACTACGCCAGGGCCCCTGTTGTGCAGACTTAACACAATTCCTGGGTCCTCACTGTGCCTGCCTGTGGCTCCAAAAGGCTAAAATAACAGGCCTTCGTGTCCGGCCCTGCAGACCAGAGAGGAATAAGGGCTAATTTAGAGACAGCCAGGGATCTGGAAGGTTTCTGTCAAGCCTGTTTCCTACACTCTGAGGTGCCAGAGAAGGACCGCGTGGCTCAAGTACATAAAGGGGAGGTGGGGTTGGGTGCAATCAGGTCCTAAAGGAGCCATGTGGCGATGCAAGACCTGTCACTGATAAGGAAACCAGGTAGCCCAAATGAAACCTCTTTAGCCTCTGATTAGAGGGTGACTCCTCTCTTAAAGAGACAGTCTAGTCATTTTAGTCCATAGTCATCGGTTGTTAGCATCTTTTCAGCCATGACATCACACACAAAGCACAGAGTATGCAGAGGAAGGGAGAACTAAATTGCTAGCAAAACAAAGGCCTGCTTTTAAAATCCTTTTTCTGTTTTATAAAATAACTTGGTTCCAAAAATGTCTTAACTGTGTGAAAAAAAAAAAAAAAAACGGTTATTTATTATTAAACATCAAGTGCACAGGCACATATTGTTGTCCTATCTGTATTCGTTCGTACCCATCTGCTCACACAGACTCATGTTCGGGCTGCTGTTTAATACACCGTATTGTTTTACATTATTAGTGTTTAGCGTATATCTTAGATCCTTATATACTGTTTCTTGTTTATACTTCATATTTTGCTATTTTTGGGTGTAACTTGGACCCTGTGTACATCATTTCGTTCCACCACATGTACCGCATGTGATGGCAACGACAGTAAAGTGGACTTGAAGTTGAGTTGAGAAAACAGCAACATGCAAATGTTTAAAGGTTTAATATCAACTAAAGTACCCTTCCTTCACACCGATATGTCGTTTTTGGAAAAGAGTTATTTTTATAAGCCTTAAAAAGGATGAAAAACAAAACTAGCTGTTAGCTTAGTCTAGCGTAGTGACGTCTTCACTTTCCTCCATCCTCTGCTCTGTGACTGATGTCACAACTGATAAGGTACAAACTATTGATTACTACTCTATTTGACAGAACTTGACTTGAAAAAAGCCAGACTATCTCTTTATGATGGACTTCTTTTTCTCCAGCTAAAAGCAGTCCAGCTCAAATTGACAATCATCCAAAGTGCAAAAATCTACGATTCTTGTGGCTCATCAGAAAAAATAAAAAAAAAATAAAAAAAAAGCTCAACATTAAACACATAAGTCACAGAGAAGCGGTCACTGTGGACATTACCAGGATTAGGCACCTTGATGTTTTTTATTTTTTAACTACTGAAGCTGAGCATCCTCTTTTGGCTGCATGTCAGATACAACTGATTAAAAGAGAATGTTGAATTCTGCTTTGTAACGTCACCAAGACAGAGTTTATAAATCTCTACGTTGTGCTAAAATGTCTGCTTTCTTAGTCTACACTCACTGCCGATGAAAAAGCAGTGCAAGACAAGATCAACAATCAGTCTTAGCTCTCAATTTACAAGGCTTGCAGAATATTTATCGTTAATTTACTTTCTTTTGTCTTAGTTTTACATCTACATCCTCTCGAAAGTGGACTTCCTCTTAACAAATGCACAGTTTGTTTTTTAATGCGCTAATATATGTGCCAGAACTGGACAAAAACTTGTATTCAATCACCAACAATCATCAAGTATTTATAGCTATAATGCACATTCACGCATTGAAACAGCAAATGGTGTACATTACATATCTACAGGCCGGTGTGTGAAGGGTGCAACACTGTGAAGAGAGCGGACGGCACACCATTTACTTTGTCATCCATAGCATATCAGTATTGCATATTGTAACTATATTTATACATGATCATATAAATATAGATAAGTATATTTCTATGTACAGTTTGATATTTCAACATTGCGTAAAGAATAAATAATACAAATATAATCAGATCTTAGAGAAAGTAAGGATTTGCTATATTAGAGCCAAAATAGTCCTAACAGCTGAAATAATCATGATAACATTTGTTATTCAAAAAAATAAAAAAATAAAAAGAATGTGGCCTAAAGTCTACACCACAATTACCCTGCAAGTTTACCATGTGGGACTGCTGGAATGACTGGAGAGGAGGAGGAAGACAGGAAAAGTCGGGGTTTGTTTCCTTCTGTTCAGTCTGTCAAGGACTTTGAGTACAAGTGTGTGTGTGTGTGTATAAATCTGCAAAGGTGGATTTTAAATGTTTGATGGGGGAGTAGGGGGTCAAAGGTCCCTTGAGCCTTCACCTCCGGATGTCTGTGGCCTTGGGGTCTTCTTGCTCAGTCACCCCTCCGGTTTCTAAGTTGTGGCGGCGAGGTCCCTGGCTGCGATTGCGTGGGTGAACGTTAAAACCCACCTTACCAGCTTTGTCCTTGTCGCCTTGCCGTGGGGGGCGAGGGTGATCCAGCTCGGGGCGGGAAGACGAGGCGTGACGGTGGTGCTCGATGGCGGAGCTGGCGGGAGATGGGACGAGGGAGGAGCAGAGGCTCAGGCTGTCGCAAAGCGCCCCCCAGTTCTGCTCACACTGTAGCCTCACGCTCCGGGTCAGCGCCTCTTTCACTTCCTCTCCACAGCTGAGGAGAATATTCACCAGCTCCACATAAGGACTGGGCCGAGAGAAAGGTAGATGATTCAACATTTGGACGTAAAGTGCATCATTCAGCTGCTAAATTATAAGAGGAATAAATGGAACGGTGCTAATAATAATGAAATAAAAAATAAGGCTAGGTGGAAATTTCCAGGAAGGACTGAAAAGGAGAAAGAACAACCCAGTGACAAATGTGTCCCAGAGCAGTAACTTACCCTTTAGGGAAGAGATCCTGGAAATGGATCATCTCCACCATGACGGCCACATTCTCCTTAGCAGCAGAGCACAGGTTGTGCTTCATGTAGCATTCTCTCTGCAGCTGGAACACCATCTCCTTAATGGACACACACTTCCTGCTGATGCAGCTGAACTTGTGCCGTAGACCGTGCGCCATACACTTCAGGGCATCCTTGATGAAGGACTTCCCCTGTATGTGCACACAGGTGCAAAGTCATGGAGCAGTTCTTGGACCAGTTGATTTCACCTCCATCTTTAATGTTTAACATGTACAGTACACACAGTGCTACTGCCGTGGCTGTGTTGATTTCCTTTCTATCAGTCACTGCCAAGGCAAGCAATCCTATAATTGCCTGTGTCTGTATATGAGTTTGTCAGTTGTGTTAGCAAAATATCTAATCAACCACTGGACATTTTTATGAAAGCTCTGAAAGTATTCATTGAATGTGAATCTACAACTGATAACTTTTAATGTCAATTCATTCAAAACGGCTGCCACAGCAAATCAGCATTTGCAAAATGGGCTAAGATTTAGTGTGGTAGTAGCTGAGAGTCATCTCCAACACATACTCCAAGTGCTAACAGATCACACAAAGCTCACTTTAAATTTTTGACATTCATTCCTTCAAGGTCGTTTCATGTGTGTTTCTGTTTTTAAATGACGGAGTGTGTCCTCTTCGTTAACAGAGGATCTTTGTGTGGCCCTACGGCTCATCTGATTGGCTGTTTCCGTGGGCCTGTCTGAGGACCGCTGCTTGCTGATTGGCTCCCTGGAAACATCCGGCTGTTTGAAAGTTCAGTTCAGGTGGTAGTTTTAAAGAGCAGCAGCTGTTTCACAGGCCACAAACTTTAGTGCTAGAAATTTGTGGATATTTTTTTGTTTATGTTTTCTAAATAACAAAGCACATTTGTTATTATATCACAGAAGCTGCGGTTTTACGTATTGCCCAACACCATAAACACCTTTTTATAACTTGGTCAATTTAACAGATTCAGCTAAAATCGAGTCAACAGAAAGTCGAACCACTTACAGACTGTGCAAAAGGAAATTTTCAGGATTTGACCGAAATGATTAAAACTCCATCGTTGCTCCACAGAAGAAGATCTTTGTTTAATGTGGCATGAGAGGCGGCGGGCGATATGCATTTTTTCAAGCTTTCTTTGATCAGTGTGCTCCTGCTTTGTTAGTCTAAGCAGAAAGAGGTTGTCTCTTTGTTGTTTATTTCCAGGTCACTTTGGTCAGGGATGGGATATATATATATATATATATATATATATATGTTTGTGTTGTTTTTCTATTTTGTACTCCAAAACTCCTAAACTGGACGTCACGCTCACTTAGCGCTGTCCAGATGCCTTGCACCTGTTTCAGCACTTCTTTGAGTTTATGTTGACGACAAACGTCTGTGGTGAAAAGTCAATTAGTGCATTTGTTCAGTCTACGATTCCGGGCTGGATTTCAACTTCTGCAATGCATGAAAAGTAAAACCAGCTGGCTCAGCGTCCCACAGGCACGCTCACTTGCCTCAAGAAGGAGAAATTTGTCCTCAAACCATCAAAAGGGAACGTATATGAATCGATAAGTGCAATAAAAGTGGCGCATTTGAAAGCCAAAACAGAAAGGTTTAGGGATGTTCCGATTTCATGGTTCGTACCTGAGAGTCGAACTTGCCAGCGTTGTGCAGGAACGTCAGGCAGATTTCCTGCAGCCCTCGTATCTCGCAGGAGTTATTCTCAAAGCACTCGAACACACCACAGCCGACATCCCCAGCACTTGCCAAGCAGTGCTGGATCTCAGCTGAGGGGGGGGGGAAACAAAACAACAAGCAGGTTAGAGGAGGGACCTTATCATCTGCTCACAGCAGAGACTATGGTTTGGTATAAATATCATACAGCTCAAAAGCACAGCTTCACATAGACTAGGAGAGAGGAGAAAAATAGATGCAGGGGAACTGCAGGGTGGGAAAAAAAGCCAATTTTCTTCAGGTTGGGGTGTTTCTGCAGAGGTGGTGGGCGATTTATACTGTGTCATTCTGCACCACAGTCATCTGCACTGCCTTGAGATGAGATGGTGCATTGCAGATACAGGCTTTACTACCGTCTCAGTTGATGCTTCTTCTGTAAATGTATCAACAAGTGTCTCTGTCAGAAGTTGTATTCTGTAAGAGCTGCTAAAGCACAGTGAGTGGTAGCTGTAAATACAAAAAAATATATATTAAATCTGCACCCTAAGCATAGCCATGAGAACATGTTTCAGTCGGGGGGGTGCTGTGAGCATGTGTGAAATTGTATGACCCTAAACACCCATATGAGGAATATCATAATACCATACAGGTCACTGTACATGCAGTGAAATGCACACTGGCACTGCGTCTTTATCTAAATATGGACATAAAACCTGTGCTGTTTATTTTGGACAGGCGATAGCTATAAAAATGAAATTATGAACTGATGCCACCTTCTTTTTTTTTTTTTTTTTTTTTTTGTGGGTTGTAAAATTTTGCATGCAACAATCAGATTTACTGATAACATGCAAATATCAGTTTGAACAAACGCATCACATGTTTCCCCCTCTCGTTGATTATTTAACTGTCATGCATGTCACCTCTGTCAAGGAGTGCTGCAGCACCCATAACTTATATGATGAGGTTAGGAAATTCTCAACTGTTCCTGCAGAGCAGACGTGACTGCTGCCCAGAGCTGGCAACAAGTTGTCGCTGGAACTGATTTACAGAAGTGATCTGGACATTGAGGGCATGCGTAAAAAGAGCCTTGACCCATAATTATTAGAAGTCAACAGAGTTTTTTTGTGGTGACAAGCAGCATGAGGGGAGGAGGGAAGGAGATGAACCTTAGGACGCAGGAAAAGTGAGCCGCTGTCAGCAGTGCTTGTTTTGGCATTGCGGGAATGTGCTTGGATTGTACGAGCTCGGCCGCAGAGCGCATTGGATTACACAGTGGAGTTAGCAGGAGTCTGCGCTGCTGCGCGAGACCTGCTCGAGAGTTTGATTTTATGATTCCAGCACGGAAGAAGAATAAGATGTACGTTTTGACATCTTATGGCTGATTTCACCAAAACAAACAAACAAAAAAAAAAAAAAAACTGGCTTCTGGGGATGAGAACTGTGCGCTCTAGTGCGGCTGTTGCGCGTCATTTGGCGCAATCACACCAGTCTTTAATGGTTCTAATAAATATGAATCATAACTGGTCAAACGAATCGGCTTGAGCTCTGTCCAACCACCACATGTTACATCTCACCCTCCAAGCAGACTTGCAAGGAAACGAACAAAAACGAGAGATTTCGTTCGGATAACAGTTTACCTATACGGTGCGCGCGTTCTCTCCCCCCCCCCCCCCCCCATTTCTCGCGCGCGGGCTCACCTAGATGGATCACCTATTACCTTGTGCCATTCTATTAATAGTTTACCAACGTATTGGATGACCGTGTGTTTACAAAAGATCGTCTTTCGTGGGAAAACCTCGAGCCCTAGTCCGAATCTTAATCCAAAGAATCTCACAAATCTGTCTTTTACAGAAAAAAAAACAAAAAAAAACACACGTGTCTGAGTGCAAGCAAGAATATCCCTCCCCATTTTTTCATTCTCTCCCCCCCAACTACAATGACACCCCAGGGCTTACCTGTGTTCTGCAGAGACAGCCGTCCTTTGTGGCTCGCGGGCTTCTCCGGGGGCAGATCGAGAAAATCCGTGTTATCCGACCCCCCGACCCGCTCCAGCACTGACAGAACCAGCAGCGCCGCGGTCAGCTTCACCAACATTGCGTCTCCGGCTGTGCGCCTTCAGTCTGCCCCCGCAGCAAAGATCCGGCGGCGGTGTGTGTGTGCGCGCGCGCGTATGTGTGAGAGAGAGAGAGGGTTCACCTTGGATTGGGCGATGAGCGCAGCTGCGACTTCGCGGAGCAGCTGTGCGGGACTGAGTGCGCGAGCAGGAAGGGAGATGCTGCCTATATTTCTCAGAAGCCCCCCGGGTGTCAATTTGGATGAAGGAGTTAAGCAGGTGTTGTCGGCCGGGGCGCGCGCAGCCAATCAGAGGCGGAGAAATCCGCGTCCAAGGTTTCGAGGGGGAGTGTCCATTCAAAAGTCTCCTTCTTGTCATAAAACTGGCAGCGCGTGCATGGATCTACACCCCCCCCCCCCC